TTCAGCTGCTCTGCCACCGGGGCCGGCAGCATCTCCTCCAGCAACGCCTCTAGATATAACATGAGTCAATCAAAAAGATGGACAACCTACTACTGAAAATAGAACTAGAATCATATATACGTTTTTATATTTTTTTTATAGCTTATCCTCACCGGTTTTCTTTTTTTCTTCCTGCAGCTGGTCGGTGCGCTCGTCCACTAGCGCCTCCAGGTTGTTTGCGTATTTCTCCATCATTGCAATCATATTATCAAATATATTTGGTTTCCTATAACATTTAAAAAGGGGTGTTTATTACAAATTGTCAAGTGAAGAATTCGTAAGTTGTTTATGTTTCAAACATCGTTTTTCAACCGTAAAATAATAAATTACTTATTGTCACAATTTTGGGTAGTACTGAATTAAATAAGGTCAAGTCAATACAAACAGGAATCACAGTGTCTGATGTTTACGCTCTAGTAACCATTAAAGGTAAGGTCGGGAACTCCTGCCCATTTGATTTCAACAAGTATATCCTTCCTGGTTATGTTACATGTCATAATCAACCTTATTATTTAAAAAAAGGTTTTTTAACGTTCCTTCACAATTGAGACTTAATCATAAACGGGAACGGATAATCTCGTGGCAGTTGTTTTTCATAAAAAAACTACTGGTTCCGTCTACTGGTTTTTGAATTTAATTTTAATATTGATATAGATTTACGTACATGCCTTTCCTGAGTGGGCGCAGGCGGGCCCTGATGGCTTTGAAGTCTGGCCGCAGCGCCGGCTCCTCCGCCCAGCACTCGGTGCAGCACTCGCGCACGCAATCGAACCGGCCCGACAGCGCTTCCAGTGGAGGTCTGCATGTTCATCGAACATAAATCGTTCATAAATCGTGGCCAAGCGCTAGTTTATTTATAGTAAAAAAAAATTAAAGATATCCTCTCTATCATATATAAGCAACTTGACTAGACAGATTGGAGATTTGGTTATTGCGTAGGTTTATGTCTAACTAACAAGTTTCGTTATTTTTTGAATAACTCTACCAATTACATACTCAAAATAGCGAAACTGCAGCTTCTTCTAACGATATTCCCGAGCAAAATAGTCGATCTATTTTAGCTGTGAATAATTTTCACCACATCCGTGAATTAGGATTTTATGATTCGGATTATTATACTAATATGTGAATGACATTTACGATCTCTTCAATATGACAGAAATATTATGTCGACCTCCTCTTGGAATGGTTTTAGGAAATTAATAAATAAGTTTACAAGACGACATTAAAATTCTATATTTTATGAGTGATAAATATAAAAAATAGGGTATGAAAATATAAAAATACCTCGAACGCACCGTCTTTCTGCACATTCGACGGGTTTTTACCGTTACAACAGTCCCAATAGTTAAACAATATTGCCATATGAGTGTGTGTACGATTGTTTAGCTGTACGTATGTATCCGTATAGACACATACCTACCTGAGGGGCGGGGTGTCGCTGGCGGCGAGGCGGCGCAGCAGCGAGGGCGCGGGCGGCGCGTCGCTGCCGAAGGGGCCGCGGCGCGCGTGCAGCTCGTACAGCAGCAGGCCGAAGGCGTACGCGTCCGCCTGCGGGGAGCCCCGCGCGCCCGCCGCGCCGCCCCGCCCCCAGCCCACCGCGCGGAGCAGCTCGGGCGACAGGTACAGCAGCCCTACACACGTCAATTATGTTATGGAGCCCTGGTACTTTTTTCAACAATCCAATGGTTACTTCCACTGCTATTTTACGTTTTCTTTTTTTATTAATTATAAGTCATCATCTACAGACTCTTGATCCGTACTCTTTTTTGCACAGTTCTTGTTCTTTTTTTCCTTTTTTATGATGCGTTATCCTTGTGCTACATTAATGAGATCCTTTTTATACCTATTTTTTCTTTTTTTCCAATATTTTTATTGACTTACTTTCCATCCTTTTTTGGTATAATATTTTATGTATAAACTAAATACAATACACAAAACACTTTCTGGTTCGGCAGTTCCGTACATACCTTCAATATGTGCTCTAAGCGCCCCGGGTTCCGAGGGCGGCAGCTCTCCCCTCCTGAACTCCCGAAGGCCGAAGTCCGCCAGCTTGACCACCCAGCGCGCGTCCACCAGACAGTTTGAAGGTCGCAGAGCACCGTGGTATTGCAGTGGGGATTCGTGTATGAATATCATGCCCTTTAAAAAATCACATTATTTTAAATGAAGTTTACTAGGTCGTCGTTTTTCCTCAAATACTAATAAAAGTGTCCACTGAAGTTGTCCATTTAGTAATACCGAATACTTTACGAACACTTTAAATTGAAAGTTATCTAAAACTTTATAAAAATATACAACAATGAGATCGTAATCCAATATTTAACTTTTATCCATAAAATTGTTATTATAAAGTTGTAAGATGCGGTTGAAGTTTGTTGAGTTCGAGTTATGTGTTGTGCTGTCGGTACTTACTCTGATTATATCTCCGACCAGTGACGCGATAAACATGTTGTCCAACTTGATGTCCTCATTTTCTAAGATATCCTTGAAGATGTAAAGTAACATGAAACAATAACAACACCATTTAATTGCACGAGGAAAAGAATATAGAAACTGCGATACATGTAATATTTTAAATTGAAATGAAATTAAGACTTTCTGTGTATTTTGAAGATTTGATTTGTAAAAACTGAACAAAATTTATATCACAACAACTTACTTTCAAACTACCCCTTGTGCAATATTCAGAAAGAGCACAAATATTGGGCGGCTCGATGCACGCACCGACGAAGCCGTTCAAATTGTCATGCTGCAAGTCCCGCATCTGCCAAAAAAAAATGTTTTCTATTTATATTCCACAATCTAGGTTTACTGATACTGAACCTCTATCACAATATCGTGTATCTTTCATGAAAATGGATACTAGTTTTATTTTAAATTAAATATGCTGTATACCAAAAATAAATAATAAAATACATCGTTACTTCATTAATTTCACTATAGTCATTTTACAACTCTGCGCATGACAAACAAAACACGCTGCTGAAAATATATTGAGCTTTTAAATGTAATTTGTTATTTTTTGTCTAACGCTCTTGTAACAATACATAAATAACACAAAATAAGCGAATCATCCTCGATTATTACATAGAGGTATACAATCTTCGATCAATCACGCATATTTTTTGAGAACATTCATCAAAGTCTATAAAAGCCCTTGTCAGTTAATCATAACAAGAAAAGAGTGTGAAAGAATACACGCTATAAAATGCTCAATTTATTGTAGTGCGTAGACAATTTTAAATACGAAATTAGTACTTATAATTAAACGGACAGCTCCTCACCTGACAACAACACTGATGAACGAAATTCCAAATAATATAAAAACGCAATAAATGAGAATATAAAACCTAAACTAAAATCATATTTTATCGATAAATTAACTAACCTAAACTTGTAACAATAATCTATACAAGTACTAACAATATTTTATACACATAACTTACACCACTTTAAGCACAATTGTATATTTTAATGTCTCAAGTCCCTAGTTTGTATAGCAACGTATAAGGCGTAACCGTCGCAAGAAAAAAAAATGTAAACTACCTACGGAGAATGTACAGGGTTCTCACAAACCAAAAGGTTTAAGAACCTAAAGTAAAAGATGAAGAGAATGTATTTAATATATTTGGAATAAATAAACAAATAAAATTGCAGTTGTTAAACTTACACAGATTTTAAAGAGAGTTTATTGAAGGCAGTAAACTTTAAGTGTTACACCAACAAAGTAGGTGCTATAAAACTTAAAAGATATTTGAACTGGAGTTTGATTTGAACAAACAAGTGCTAAGTTACTTGCAGCTGATCAAATCAACTTTATTTATAGAGCTCTTTAAAAGTTCGCGATCCAGGGAGAGGTTAGTCTGTCCTCTAAAGATTCTAATAATTTCCACATACAAGATAAAAAAATACCATTTTTTCGAAACGGGCTAGATATCAAGTGCACATTTTATTTTCCATAAAGAACATATTAAGACGTCAGCATAGTGTGATTTTATTACGTAATTTAATTTCGAAGCAATCAAATAGTAAACCACTTGGTAAACATAAGTAAATACTATGGGGAAAATTTGTTTAAGTAATTACGTGTAAATACAGTGGGAATGTTCGCATAAACGTCGGAATACTTTTTGCTTTCAATTTGTGTTATCAAGTGGAATAAACATTTGTCTTCTATTAAGAAAGATATTTTAGGCAGAGAAAGTGAATTGCGGTCCAAATTGAGACGTGATTTTATTTATCTAACGGGGCTTTGTTAGAAAATAAGACTGAAATAATTTGGACTTTGGAGGATTAAGAGGAAAATGAAGATGTTAAAAAGGTTATTTATTAAATACAAAATAAAGTAAGTAACTATAAAAATATATGATTCGGTTTTAAAAAAACGATTCCGTAAATTACTTTATCATATCTATTTGAAATAACATCGTATCTCCCAATAGCTGGTAAAAAGAGGGAGCTGCAGAAATTTCGCTTAAAAGGCTGATAGCGCTAAAACTGGTACTAATAAAAAAATATTACACAATAACAAGTAGCGAGTAAAATATATTTTTTTTTCCCATTCAACCATTATTTCAATTCCCATTAATTTGTTACAGCATGTCGGCAATGGCACGCTGAGAATTGTAATCCTGTTACTATGAAAATTTATACATTATACGACCCTTCGATAGCTTTCCTATGTCATTTAATGAAAACATAGTGTAGATAGCATCAGCGGCGAAAGCATTGTTGCATGTGGGTGGACAATATATTAAATGATCTGATTTAATTCCTGATTTTGTCTTCAATTTGTAGTGTTTCTAGTGGTTTGTAGACATCCTGCATATTTAAGAGGACTAATTTATGTTTTGACCTTATTGTTATATTTGAGGAAAACCGAGTTAACGTGAATTATTTATGTGAAAAATAATGTTGTTTCAAAACGAACCTAGGTCGAAACCGAAACACAGAGTTCCTCGGCATATTTCAATCATCCGGACAATTATTCAAAGTGAAATAAATGAAAGTGATTTATAATACGTCAGCTCATTCCCGGGCATTCGTGAGGAGAATTTGTTTGTTTTGCGGCATGCGGGTGCCTGATAAGGTATTTGATTTTGCTAAGAGGCTTAGGTACGCTTCCCTTACATACACGCACAGTTCATATTTCAGCTTAAGTAAACGTTCCCTATCGTCCGCCTAATAGGATTTACACATCAATCATTCGTCTTTATTCTTAAAGCGTAACATAAAAGGGGATATTTCCATAAAGCTTAAATGTATGCGCAGCCATTATGGGCTAATATCGGATGTTTCGTAACATACGAAATTATGTAATTTTCTGTATATTATAAGATAGCTGAAAGAAAAGATAACACGAATTCTAGTCACAGTGCAGCGCTATAATTAGGTTCTTACTATTTTAAGTTCCTTCTTGATTTCTCTGTTGATATCGATGTGCTGTCTGCGCACGCGCTTGA